TATGGTTGGGGGGCACCACCACATGAGGAACTGCACGAAAGGGCCGCGGCCTGAGGAAGGTGGAGAACCACGGATACAGCGGTTACATGCTGATCCACTAAAGGCAGGGTCAGCAGTTCGAATCCACCAGCCGCTCTGCAGGAGAAAGACAAGGCTTTCTTCTCCCATCAAGCGCTGCAGTCTTGGAAACCCACAGGGGCAGCTCTACCCTGCTCTGTAGGGTGGCTGTGAGCCAGCATTGACTCCACGGCAGTGAGTTAAGAGCTTGGTTTGAGAAGCACAAAGTAGCATTTGCACGTGTGTGTCTGTGTGCACGTGTGTGTCTGTGTGCACGTGTGTGCGCACTGTGTTGTGTTTGCATTTTCACTGACTTGGCGGTAAGCCATCAGTTGATGTAAGACGTGCAATCTGTCTATGTCGTTAGCGTCATGTGGCCCTTGTGTCAACTTCCCAAATGGGAAGACATCGGGCGGCACGCTATCTTTCCTGTTAACGTGAAGCATCTATTTGTCAGAGAATAATAAAACCTGTTTACACCGTGAGATTCTCTGCTCTGAGTTTCTGAGGGCAAAGGAGTCTGGGAAATGGAGGTAGAAGGAGCACGCATTTATTTCTGTCTTGTCTTTAAACTATGATTGGAAAACAGCCACAGGTGTTTGTGCTCAGGGCAACCGGCTGTGGACGAGCCGCTTAGATCAAAACTATGGTTGTTCAGCACTGTCAAGCTGATCTCGACTCACAGTGGCCCGAGGTCCAACAGAATTGTCTTAGAACTCCAATTCTGAGCACCCGGTTTGCAAAATGTACGGATCCCCATGAGAGTTCAGAATCCACTGACAGCATCCCCACCTAGATGGAGCTCCCATTGAATTCTTTCTGATTGTTGACCAAGGATGTAGGTCATGTTGCCCTCAGGAAGAGACCCTGGTAAAGCAGGTGGCCTCTAGCCCCAATCCAGAAGACCCCACCCCACAACTGGACCAACAATGACATCGCAATAAATGGAGGAAAGACTGCAGTTGGCCAAGAGTTCATCTTGCTTGAACCCGCTGTCAATGCTCAGTCCAGACGTCAAACTACTTTGGTCCATCTGCTGCACAAAACCTCTCTAGAACATCGAACAGCCAGCATGTCACTTTGAGGACTGAGGTGCACCTGACCCAAACCAGGGTATCCTCAATGGCTGTATAGGTATGTCAACACTGGACAAGGAATAAGGAAGACTGTGTGAGTCCGGTGAACTAGACAATCAAATCCACAGGTGTAGATGAGAGAGCTTTATAGACAAGAGCAGTTGAATACTGAGAAAACATCCCAGTCCAGATCCATTCCATAAATCTGATATTAGCCCGTATGTCCGATACTGATCTATAAAGTCCTCTTTAGACTCAGGAAACGCATGCAATGACACCAGATGTAGGAAGATCACAGGCCAGTGGGTGGAAAGTCTTGTGGATCCAGTGGCGGTGGAAGCACCTTAGTGCCGGTGTGGGTCTCCACGTGGCTCCTCTAGCTCCAGGGCTCTAGTGTGGCTCCATGTGTCTCATCAGCAGGGATGTCGCACATGGAGTGAGCATGCGTCGCGCCTCTCCTTGGTGCTTCCCAATGGGGTCGTCAGGCTGCTACCTGATTGACAGGCAAGACTCCACCCCATCACCCTTAATCCTCTTAAATTGACACCAGATGGTGTAGCTACCA